AAATTTCTCAGGTCATTCAGATGAGAACTGTAGACACCACAGCAAAACTTGTATTTTAAAAATATATATACATGTAAATAGGCACACACATTTCCTGTTTGGCATCGCATTTACATCAATGTAAATCAGAAATAACTACTGTGTAGCCAGTGGAGATAAGGCAACGTTAAATAAAATAAAAATTGAGCATTTTTCTTCTTTTTTCAGTGCAAATAGGCTAAAGGCTCCAAAATTCCATACAAATCAATTCTGAAGTGTGTGTGAGTTTTATCATTTAAGCTCTACAATATTATTATTGAACTTAAGCCCTTAATGATTAACACAAGAAACAGAGGGAATTGTGTGCATTTATTTAAATGTGTTTTCTCTTTGTAGTTCAAAGGCACAGTGCTACCCAATAAATAAGCTAAATGGCATACAATAATGTTTTAACGGTTAATGCCTCGCAGTACCTTTCTGCAATTGATGTATGTACTAGTTTGTGAGGAAGAAAAGAGAAGGTTCCTATCCTAGAATGCTTTTAATCAAATAAAGAATGTAGATATAAACCACACTGAGTACATACATTCATGCCACATAAGTCATTTTAGGAGTTTCAGTAGATGTGGAAAAGGAGAGAAAAGAAATTACACGAATCCAAGCAAAGCAAGTATTTTCCAAATTTGGAAAGCGTACAATACTGATGACAGCTGCAATATTTTTCTCTGTCGTTTTGACATCGTCCCAGATATGCTGTTTGTTGGTTCTATAAATTCATACATGTGTGTAAAGCAAATCAAGAAAGCTTAATGACCTACATTTTCAGAAAGGACCAGTAATTTGGAATGCTTCTGTTGCTGAATGTCTAACTTGAAATGATAAACAGGTGCTCAGCACTGTATGAAAATCAGGCGGCATTAAGTTGCCTGAGGTTGGATACCCAGAAATTAAAACACCTAGACTCACTGATCACTTATGAAAATTTAGGCAACTATTGTTTTTGTATTCAAACTTTTCCCTGAACACTGAAATACACCAGATTTCTGGCATTTGCTTTTCTTTTAAAGAGGCAACTGGAAAACAAATACTAAAAATGTAACAAATACCATACATGTACAAATAGAATTCCAGCAAAATACACTTTAAAATCAACAGCTAGTTAAAATGCAAGATAACCTGGAGGATAGTTGTTATTCTTTTTTAAAGATTCGTGTAATTTCTTTTCTCTCCTTTTCCACATCTATACTTGTCTTCTCACCAGTATGTGTTCAGTTGGAAATCACTAAATGGATTGCATGGTTCCCTACAATGCAATCAGAAAACTCAGACAAATTCTTTTTACTGTAATGTTTTGTCTTTTGTTATATTTGACCTGATTTGACAGTTTACTGCCTTCTGGAGTAGGTTATTACTATAGGGAAAACATCAATAACTTGGACATTCTCTTTTTTTGCTTTTTTTGTTCATAGTTCCAAAGACAGCACCAGCTAATGTCAGTGGCAGAAGTGGAAGACGGCATGAATTAGTAATAGCATGGGAGGTAAGGGACTCTTTTTGATTAAAGGTCCTGTTTCATATTGACTTCTTTGTGGGCAGAGTGAGGAGAACAGGACTGAAGTTCCCTACAGCAAATCTTATCAGGATATGAACACAAAATATCATTTCTTAAATGTGCATTAAGGTCTCAAAGGGGTTCATATTTCCATGTGATGAGAGCAAAGGACAGCTTGGAGAATCTACCTCTAAAAGCAGAAGCCCCAAAGTAAAGTTTATTCGTTTTTGCCTTCCTTCTCACTCAGTCTGCTACAGTTGATCTTGCATTACTAGATATGCTATGAATTCTGCACAAGATGCAGTGCTAACTCAGCATGTGAGAAAGAGACTACATTTGCATTAACTCCTCCCTCAGGTAAGAGGGTAAGTGAGAATACTAACAACTCTACAGAGGGCCACAGTCTTAGTAGATGTAAATTTCATTCACTTCAGTGGGTCTGTGCTGACTTACACAACTTTTTGGAGAGCTTCTCAGGCAATCTTCCCAGCCACCATCACACACAGCATTCAGTTTGGCATTCTGTGTTGATTTGCCCCACAGTGAAAACAATTATTTCCATAACAAATAATGCAAACTAGAGTGAAATTACTTTCATCAACCTGAGAAAATGCAATCTCCAAATTGGGCAGAAGATTTCAGTGCTTTCCTTTGTTTTTATTTAACCCTGTGCTAGCATTATGTCCAATAAATATCTTTCTACTATTACTGTTTGCAACAAAGCAAATGTGCATCACAAACATCTCACGTTAGATAGAAAAGCAAGTAGTCCTTTAGCTCGTTAGAGACCAACTATATATAGGGGGGGGGAGAGAGAGAGAGAGAGAGAAAGAAAGAGAGAATCATGTGCTTTCATGGGCAAAACCCACTTACTCAGATGACAATAGCCAAGTTAGTAATAAATCCAAGTATTGCATATGTTTTAATTATAAACCAGCAGAGTGAGTGCACTTAAAATTTTCTTTTGTTTTAAAAGATTTCTACCATTTCCAATTATATTTTCTGCCTCTACATGGGGAATTCCGCTGAAAATGATAGTTGATCTTAATAGATAACACATAAAAATTGTGTAACTAAAAATCAGAAAGCTGAATTTGTTGCTAAGGACCTTATCCTGGCACATAGAATACCTTTCTCTGAGAGCAGTCTCATGCAAGTCAGGGCAGATTATTCAGTGTGAGTAGAGGTGACAGAATCAATCTTATTAAATATACTGGAGCACTGATTGTGAATATCAATAAAACGAAGACAATGGTATTTGGAGATAAGGAAATAGGAAGGAAAATCTGTGTAGATGGGATCGAACTAGAGAACATAGAGAACTTCTCGTATTTGGGGAGCAACATGACGTATGATCTAGACTGTAAGAAGAAAATAGCAACTAGAATAGCAAAAGCAAGAGTGAGTTTGAAGGTGATGGATAAAATCTGGAAAAGTAAAGCGATTAGCTTAGTAATGAAGCCGAGCTTCTTGAAAATGTGTGTATTTAGCAGCATGTTATACAGTTGTGAGACATGGGTGATAATGAAAGATTCGAAGAGAAGGATATTGGTGTTCGAGAGGAGTTGTTATAGAAAGATCCTGAGAATAGGATGGATGCAGAAGGTCACCAACAAGAAATTATAAAGGAAGATACAGCAAAAAGAGAACCTACTGCAGAAGGTTATACAATGAAAGTTACAGCTATTCGGGCATATCTGCTGAATGAACAATGAGCGAAAAGTTTAAGACCCTGATATTCAGCATAATGGATGGTCTGAATAGGAAAAGCAACCCCATAGAGAATGGGAGATGATATAGTAAATTGGTGCAGAGTTAGTCTACAGAAACTAAGCCACTCTGCACTGGAGAGGGAAAGCTAGAAGGAAATATTATATACACCAACTTTCACCTCAAAGGGAGTCAGAGGAGGCACGCTTTCATCTCTATAGATGAACATGGAAGCATCTGAGGGTGTCACCATTTTTTCTTTCCACCCTCTTGTTCCATTCGGTCTGAAAGCCACAATGTATCCAAATCCTTCCCCATTCTGGAACTCTTCTGATACTGGCTAAAAAGAAAAGCTTGGTTAATTCACATATATTTTAAACCTTATTACTCTGGACGTGACCACAATGGGCAAATATAGGCTGGCAATTTAACAGGGGTAATCTTATAAAGTAAGAGAACTGTGCTGAATACAGCTTCCCTGGTCAGGGCAGTTTATTCTATAGGTTTTTGGGGGACAGACCAATGACAAATTATACCAGCTGAGGTTCTCATCATCATCAACAACCATGTGCTCAACACCCATTGGTGTCCGATGCCTCCCTCACTATGGGTATGTCTACACTACCACCCTAGTTCGAACTAGGGTGGTAGTGTAGACATACCCATAGTGAGGGAGGCATCGGACACCAATGGGTGTTGAGCACATGGTTGTTGATGATGATGAGAACCTCAGCTGGTATAATTTGTCATTGGTCTGTCCCCCAAAAACCTATAGAATAAACTGCCCTGACCAGGGAAGCTGTATTCAGCACAGTTCTCTTACTTTATAAGATTACCCCTGTTAAATTGCCAGCCTATATTTGCCCATTGTGGTCACGTCCAGAGTAATAAGGTTTAAAATATATGTGAATTAACCAAGCTTTTCTTTTTAGCCAGTATCAGAAGAGTTCCAGAATGGGGAAGGATTTGGATACATTGTGGCTTTCAGACCGAATGGAACAAGAGGGTGGAAAGAAAAAATGGTGACACCCTCAGATGCTTCCATGTTCATCTATAGAGATGAAAGCGTGCCTCCTCTGACTCCCTTTGAGGTGAAAGTTGGTGTATATAATAACAAAGGTGATGGACCCTTCAGCCCCATTGTGGTCATCTGTTCAGCTGAGGGAGGTCAGTTTGGGAGATTGTCCGCATGTTTTAAATTATATATAAGCAATGAGAATAATAATGATACAGAATTTTTCATTCCTAGATCACAAAGCATTTTACAAAGCAGATAAGTATCATTGTGGTTGAACCTGTGGTACTGGGAGGTGACATAGAATCATAGAAGATTAGTGTTGGAAGAGACCTCCAGAGCTGAAAGCAGGATCAACCCCAACTATATCATTCTAGCCAGCGCTTTGTCAATCCTGGCTATAAAAACCTCTAAGGATGGAGATTCTCTCACCTTCTAGACAACCCATTTCAGGGTTTTACCATCCTACAACTGAAGTAGTTTTTCCTACTATCCAGCCTAGACCTCTCCCACTGAAACTTGAAACCATTTCTTCTGGTTGTATTCCCACCAGCACTGAGAACTGACTAGTTCCACTCCCTTTGAAACCAACCTTCAGGTAGTTAAAGGCTTCTATCAAATCTCACCTCCCCACTCCCCATTCTTCTCTTCTACAGACTAAATAAGTCCAGGTCTCTCAGCCTCTCCTCAAAAGTAATGAGTCATAGCCCCCTAAATCATTTTTGTTGCCCTTTACTGGACTTTCTCCAATTTGTCTACATCCTTTCTGTAGTGGGCAACCCAAAACTGTAGACAGTACTCCAGATGTGGCCTCACCAATGCCGAATCGAGGGGAATAATCATTACCCTTGATCTGCTGGCAGTGCTCCTACTAATGAAGCCCAATATGCTACTAATGTAACCTTCTGAGCAACACAGGAACACTGTGGACTCATATCCAGCTTCTCATCTGTTGTTATCCCTAGCAAGTATAGGCAGTCCCAGGGTAACATACAAGATAGGGACTGTAGGTTTGTTCTTAAGTTGAATCTGTATGTAAGTTGGAACTGGCGTCAGCCGCTGCTGAAATTGATCAGTTTCAACCACGGCTGAATCTGGATGCCAGTTCTGACTTACATATGGATTCAACTTAAGAAACCCAGGCATCCCCAAGACAGCTGCTGCTGAAACTGATCAGCGGCTGATTCCAGGAAGCCTGGGGCAAAGCAACTCTGCCTCGGGCTTCCTGTAGTCAGCCAAGTTGGAACTGGCGTCAGCCGCTGCTGAAATTGATCAGTTTCAACCACGGCTGAATCTGGATGCCAGTTCTGACTTACATATGGATTCAACTTAAGAAACCCAGGCATCCCCAAGACAGCTGCTGCTGAAACTGATCAGCGGCTGATTCCAGGAAGCCTGGGGCAAAGCAACTCTGCCTCGGGCTTCCTGTAGTCAGCCCCTGGTCAGTTTCAGCAGTGGCTGACTTGGGGATGCCTGGGGCAGAGCAGCTGGGGTGCTGCTGGGTTGCT